AAGAGGAGACTGAGGGGGGACATGATGGCTCTCTTTAAATATTTGACAGGCTGTCCTTTTGGAGGCTGTGGAAGGTCAGTAGTTTAGCAGTTCGAGACTCGGGTGCCGCAAGACGGAGTGAGCTCCCGTCTCTAGTTCCAGCTCCTGCCAACCTAGCCGTTCGAAAGCAAGAAATTGCAAGTAGATAAATAGGTACCACTTCGGTGGGAAGGGAACAGCGTTCCGTGCGCCTTGGTGTTTAGTCATGCCGGCCACATGACCACGGAAACGTCTTCGGACAGCGCTGGCTCTTCGGCTTTGAAACGGAGATGAGCACCGCAACCCTAGAGTCGGATTCGACTGGCTTTCGAGCAAGGGAACCTTTACCTTTTACCTTTGGAGGAGGGCAAGGAGCTGTTCCAGTTGGCGGTGGCGGAGAGGACCCGAAGCAACGGGTTTAAATTACATGTGGAAAGGTACCGGTTGGAGATTAGGAAAAACGTTTTCACGGTCAGGGTGGCTCAAAGGTGGGATCAGCTGCCTGGGGCGGTGGTGAGCTCCCCGTCACCGTCAGCTTTCGAGAAGAGGCCAGACGAATATTGGTCAGGGATGCTTTAGGCTGGTCCTGCCTTGGGCAGGGGGTTGGACTAGATGGTCTCTGTGTGGCCCCTTCCGGCTGTGATTCTGTGACCCCTTTCTTTGAAGCACGCTCAGATGGTCAAACGCCTCTGTGGTTTGGGGGGGGGGCAGATTCTCAGCCTCACCATGGTGGCAGTTGAGTGAGGGCCAATGAGCCAGGAGTGAAGCAGTTTTTAAGGTAGAGGCGGGAGTTGCTCCTCCGGGAGAAGAAACAAGTTCTGGAGAGGTGGCTGTGACGCTCCTCGGCAGGAGAAACTTGTCTGTGGGCTTGCTAGAAATCTTTCTCAACCGCGGCACGCGGGAGTTGTTTCTCTCACGATGCCAGCTCCCAAAGCTCTTGACGGAACGCGGGGACAAACCTCTTCCCGAGTCCCTCTCCGGGGTTGCGCTCTCTCTCTCTCTCTCAGTCCTGCGGTTGGAGATGTCGGGTGTTGGGCCCCGTCGTTTTTGCGTGCAAGGCTTGGGCGCTACCTCTGAGCCTCGGGCCCAGCCCTAGGAAGCTGGCATCGAGGCGTGCTTGAAGGAGGCCAGGCAAGTGACGGGCGCTTGGGGGCCTCTCTCCTCCAGCATCCAAAGGACTGGTGACATCCCAGGTTTGTGCATAAATTGATGACTTGAGCCGGTGGAGCAGGCGCTTGGGGCCCTCTTCAGCTCGTGAATCTAGGTCACGTTGCCGGGTCGAGTTCCGTGAGCGTGTGGGCGTTGGGATCGGATGGGCTTCCTACGTACCTGTCAGGGCTTTCCGAAAAGGTGGGGCTTTCTAGAGGAGGGTACAGATGGTTCCTCTGAGGCTCAGGCCCGGTTTCCAAGCGACGCTGTAGATCCGCAGCCTCGGTTTTCACCGCCGAAATGGAAATCTAATGGCTTGCGTTTCTTTCGGTTGGCAATTGGGCGTAGCATCGCGATTTGACTCCCCCCCCTTTCTTTATTTTTGTGGGCCCGATCACAAGAATGGCAAAATGGGGAGGGCTTCACAATGTGGCTTTTTACTGAGATGTTGTCAAAAAGTAGGCGCTGGGAAGACAAAGGATTTGTCTTGAGGTAGGTCAGCGGGTTGAGCTGTGATCTGAAACAACAACCTGAATGTGACCTGATTTCCCCAGCCCCTCCAGCTCAATTGCTTTCCCTCCGCCTCCCCACCCCCGGCACTTTACAAAGCTACTGAACAAGTTCATGGGCAAATTGCTGACGTCTGTGACCCTGCCGCGGCCCTCCGAGGTGACCTTGGTCACGGTGCCTGCTCAAGTCGAAGGATAATTGGAGAGTTTTCAAGTTTTACAAAACAGTAGCGAAACCTTCCAACCCGGAGAGCCAAAACCCTGGATTTTGCAACTGAAACTATGTTTCTCGAATAGATTGTGACTTTGCATCCATTTAGTATTCATCTTGGGGAGTTTTGTGTGTTTGTTTTTGTTTTTGCTCGTTGGCTTTGAAGGGGGGCCTTTGCCCAGCTAGAGAGACCCATGTTTTGTCAAGGAGTCACAGAGAAATGCCTTGAGAATTGGGTTGTGTAAGAGGAAAGCGGGGTTTCTGAACAGGACGGGTTAGTCTTGTCTTTCTGGACACCGGAAACCAGTCCCTTTCGTTCTTTGTAAACTTCCAGTAGAAACTGCCTCCTTCCCACCGTGGTTTTTCGTGTTTTTATTATTATTATTATTGTTGTTGTTGTTGTTGTTGTTGTTGTTGTTGTTGTTATTGTCGTTATTATCGTTATTATCGTTATTATTTCTGGTTTCATGAGGACTAGGAACTTGAAATCTGAGAGTATCCGCATTAGGCAAAAACGTGTTGATTCTGTGTAAAAGGATCCAATCTGTCCGAGGGAGTCTTACGGGTTCCTGGCTGTAGGCCGTTGAGTTTCTTGAAGTCTTGCTGCACCAAACGACCTAGATGGATGGATTAAATGCTTGTGCGGTGATGCCATTTCTGCAGAAAGGTATTCTTCATGGCTGGCCAGCCCTCCTGGAAGGTTCCTTGTCCAGGAGGTTCTCCATACGTAGAACCTGAGAATCCTTCAGCGGTTGGTGGCCCTGTGGCCTGTCTTTGCTAGACCAGCCAGTGCTAGGGGATTAGGTCAGGTGGCATCCTTTAGACCTGTTTGGGGACTTAGTTCTTGGGATTTTTTGCTTGCTTCTTTAAGTGTCTGACTCAGCACAAGGTCGACTTGCACTCCCCAATGTCGTCTGTCTGTCTGAGAGGAGGTAACTCGGAAGGCTGGGGAGGAAGGCTTGGGGTGTATCAACAGAGGCATAACACCCAACTGGCGAGATGTCCGAGTCCCACTGTACACTGCATTGGTCAGGCCTCACCCGGAGTCTTGTGTGCAGTTCTGGAGGCCTCCCTTCAAAAAGGATGTGGACAGAGTGGAGCGGGTGCAGAGGGGAGCGACGAGGATGATCAAGGGCCTGGAGACCAAGAAGCCCTGTGAGGAAAGGCCGAGGGGGGACTGGGGAAGGTTCAATCTGGAGAAGAGGAGGCGGAGGGGGGACAGGATGGCTCTCTTGATGTCTCTGAAAGGCTGTCACTTAGAGGAGGGCAGGGAGCTGTTCCTGTGGGCAGCAGAGGAGAGGACTCGCAAGAATGGGTTTAAGTTAAGGGCGGGAAGGTCCCGGCTGGATCTTTTTGACAGTCGGAGTTGTGCAGCAGTAGAATCAGCTGCCTAGAGAGGTGGTGAGCTCCCCTTCCCTGGAAGTCTTCAAGCAGCAGCTGGACAAACACTTGTCAGGGATGCTCTAGGCTGATCCTGCATTGAACAGCGGTTTGATCCTGTCATTGAGCACCCCAATAGTCCATCAGTGGCTATTAGCCACAAGGTATAGATAGGGACTCTGGGGCAAGTGATGCTCTGTATTCTTGGTGCTTGGGGGGGCAACAGTGGGAGGACTTCTGGTGTCCTGGCCCCACTGCTGGACCTCCTGATGGCACCTGGTATTTCTGGCCACTGTGTGACAGAGTGTTGGACTGGACGGGCCGTTGGCTTGATCCAGCATAGGCTTCTCTTATGTTCTTATAGGAGCTCTGTCTTGGGCAAGTGATGCTCTGTATTCTTGGTGCCTGGGGGTGGGGCAAAAGTGGGAGGGCTTCTGGTGTCCTGGCCCCACTGCTGGACCTCCTGATGGCACCTGGTATTTTTGGCCCCTGTGTGACACAGGGTGTTGGACTGGATGGGCCATTGGCCTGAACCAACATTGGCTTCTCTTTTGTTCTTATCGGAACTCTCGGTCTGGGGCAAGTGATGCTCTGTCTTCTTGGTGCTTGGGGGGCGGGGGCAACAGTGGGAGGGGCTTCTAATGTCCTGGCCCCACTGCTGGACCTCCTGAGGGCACCTGGTATTTCTGGCCACTGTGTGACAGAGTGTTGGACTGGATGGGCCATTGGCCTGATCCAACATTGGCGTCTCTTATGTTCTTATAGGAACTCTCAGACTGAGGCAAGTGATGCTCTATATTCTTGGTGCTTGGGGGGCGGGGGGCAACAGTGGGAGGGCTTCTAATGTCCTGGCTCCACTGCTGGACCTCCTGATGGCCCCTGGTATTTTTGGCCACTGTGTGACTCAGAGTGGTGGACTGGATGGGCTATTGGCCTGATCCAACATTGGCATCTCTTATGTTCTCATGTCTGGGGCCAGGGATGCCCTGTATTCTTGGTGCTTGGGGGGCAACAGTGTGAGGGCTCCTAGTGTTCTGGCCCCACTGGTGGGCCTCCTGATGGCCCCTGGTATTTTTGGCCACTGTGTGTGACAGAGTGTTGGACTGGATGGGCCATTGGCCTGATCCAACATTGGCTTCTCTTATGTTCTTATGTGCTTATGGAGCAGGGGGTTGGACTGGGTGGCCTCCATGGCCCCTTCCAACTCTGTGAGTCTGTGTGATTCTATGAAGAGAGAGCAAAGTGCGAAATCTTGTTGTGTCCTTAAATGCCGGTCTCTCCGATAACCCGAAGGAGAGGTCCCCTCCACCCCTACATAGCCCCATTTTACTGATAACCCGTGGCGGGAAAGTGACACGTGCCCACGGGTGCCCAAACAGGTGGCTCACGCTTGATACCTTGGCGCTGTTTACCTGCCTCCTTTCCCTCCCTGCCTCCTCAAACCATTAAGTAAATTTTCATTGACGCTTCGTTCTCTTGACGTCTTGCTTTGGCCTTTGCAGATTGGAGGCCTTCCTGTTTTCTGCTCTTTGTCCCCAACCGGGATTTTGTTTCCCCCCAGCTTTGCAGAGCCACGGGGGGGGGGGCAAAGTGGCTGGGACCGGCTGCCCCCACCTGAGCCGCAAAGGCCCGGCCACAATCTCGCCACTGCTCAGCCGCTGGAAAACAAACAGGAATGCAGTAATTGGCAGGCGTCTCTGTGGCGCTTGTGAATGGCTGGAACCGTTTCCCATGGGTTACCTTTTGTTCCTGTGCTTTCAGAAGTCTTTCAAGGCCCTGGGAGGTAGGCCCCTTAGGAGCCCTGTGTTTGTCCCTGGTGGCGACTGAAGCCAACCTGGCAAATTAGAGGCCGCACGGCGAGTTGAACTGGGGGCTTCTGGTGCAACGCTTGGGCCTGGTTCACTCTGTGGCGGCGGGTCTTGGAATTCAGCTGGAAGACGGGATAGCCCATTATGCGAACAGACTGCATCCTCGAGGTGTGGTAGCTGGCACGGCCCCTCCTTGATTCTCTGGCCCAAATGGCTTTGGCAGCCCCAGAACAAAGGGCAGCACAGGGCTGGCTCCGGATTGCGATGGCGTATGAACCTGTGAGTCATAGAATCACAGAATCATAGAGTTGGAAGGGGCCATACAGAGACCATCTAGTCCACCCCCAGCCCAATGCAGGACCAGCCTAAAGCATCTCTGACAAATATCCATCCAGCCTCTTCTTGAAAGCTGTCAGTGAAGGGGAGCTCACCACCTCCCTGGGCAGCTGATTCCACGTTTGAACCACTCCGACCGTGAATCTAATATCCAGCCGATACCTTTCTGCATGCAACTGAAACCTGTTGCTTTGGGTCTTCCCCTCTGCTGCCGACAGGAACAGCTCCTTGCCCTAACCCAGTGAAGGCGAACCTTTTAGAGACCGAGTGCCCAAACTGCAACCCGAAACCCACTTATTGATCGCAAAGTGCCAACACGGCCATTTAACCTGAATACTGAGGTTTTCGTTTAGAAAAAAAGACTCATACCTTAACATAAGAGGATCCAAACAAAGTAAGGAAAGCAATCCCAAATGCTTTCATTTACTTAAAATTATTTGGCAGAGAATTCCACACTTCAATGACGGTCTGGGCCTGGCTGGGGCGATGGCACGTGTGCCCACTGAGAGGGCTCTGAGTGCCGCCTCTGGCACCCGTGCCATAGGTTTGCCACCACTGCCCTAACCCTAACCCTTGTAACATGGCCCCAGAGTTCCTAGTGGAAAGCCTGTAATTTGAATCTTCTTGATGGTTAGTTTTAGCCCAAGGCCCTGATTTGTATCAGGGCCGGGAGGAGAGAAGGGGTTTAAATCCTTCTGCCCACACTCGGGTTCACCAATCGAAACACACACAGTGTATTGTGATCCGTTCCGGTGGGGATTGAAGGGGAGGTACCTCTGTCTAGGGGGGAGACATCTTGAATGGCAATGCCATGCAGGGGCGAGACTTTTAAGGCTCTCCCCCCCCCCCCCCCCGGTCTTGATATGAATCAGGGCCCTGGACAGTTCAGAGAAAATAATGGATTTATACCCCACCTGTCACTGCCCAAAGGAGTCTCAGAGCGGCTTCCAATCTCCTTTCCCTTCCCCTCCCCACAGCAGACACCCTATGAGGTAGGTGGGGCTGAGAGAGCTCTTTCAAGAACTGCCCCTGAGAGAACAGCTCTGAGAGAACTTATGACTGACTCAAGGTCACACCAGCAGCTGCATGCGGAGGAGTGGGGAATCGAACCCGGTTCTCCCAGATTAGAGTCCATGCTCCTAACCGCTACATCAAAATGGCTCTTCACCTCTTTGATTGTTAGGAACGTCTGGTCAGGGATGTCTATTTTGACCAATAAACCACCCACAATCCATCTCCTCTTGTCCAAAATTAATGTTCTGTGGCCTCTATCTAATGTTTTGTTTTGTTTTGTTTTTTTAATGTAGGTCTGAAAGCAACTTTTGGGCTGTAAATCGAAGCACGAGGTAGGTTGCTCTAATTTCACACTTGGCTTCTTTAGAAGTGGGGCTGCGTGGGATACTTTAGCTCAGTTGGGAATTCGGCACTGGGGGGGCGCCTCTGTTTGACAAAACTCTCGCTGAT